TTTTCTTTCTTTTAATATGCTCTTTTCTTAGACATTGCCATACTTACCATGTTCCCAAGACCCAACAGATGTCAGAACTAGAAAGGTAGTGCCCTTCCTTGAGAAGTAAGTTCCTAAAAAGTAAATCAATAAGCTTATAATGCAACTTTCTTAGTAGATTTCCAGAGCAACCATCAAGCTTTGATGCAAATGCAGTTTTGAACCCAGAACAGAAGATAACTGGAGGGAAAAGGAACTGTGAGATGCTGTAGCAGATATTCTAGGATTTCCCTGGTACTGTTAGGAAACTGTTTTTTTATATGAGATCAAAGATATGTGATTTTCTGATTCTTTTTTCAAAAAGCCACGTTGGGAGAAAAATTTAACTGTCATTTTCACGAAGATTCATGTTGCTACCGTTTAGCTGCAAGTAGCAAGCACTCTGTTGTATATAGGATTAATAAGCGAATGATTAGAAATAGTTTGTTTGGGGATAAACAACTTGAGATGGGGCCTCACGAGGGTGGAGTTGAGGGGGACACTCACCTCCCTCATTCTGCTGAGCCATATCTTTTGTGCTACACCAGCCATAATCATGATCCACTTGTCTCCATCCACTCAGATGGATATTCTGTGCTCAGAAAACTTTCAAAGTTGACAGTGAGGTAATTATGTGTAAGATTAGCATTTTGAAATCCCTAAATTTTCAGTGGTTAATGTAGGAGCTGTGTGTTCGCTGTCTGCTGTGGCAGAGGTGAGATGTTACTGCTGCTCTCTGGTCCAGGGAGGTCCTGGTGTTCTCAGCTGTGACTTGTGCAGAGCGTGGTGGCTGAGGAATAACCCATGCAACAACTCCCTGAAGCACTGTGAAAATGCTGTGTAGGAAAGGCTGGTTCCCCCTGGGGACAGAGGAGAGAGGGCAGAACAGTTTTAAATGATAGTTACTGTCATGCAGAATGACATCTCCAAAAGACAAGCTGTAAACCCCCTCAGCTGCTGATTTGTGTCATGGTCGTCCTTCAAGGCAGGTGATGAAAAGCTGTTGAAAGATATTAACCCATCTACTGACACCCATGGAGGAGCACAAACTCCAGCATTAATCTTGTTTTGTGGCTTTTGTCAGTGCCGCATAAAGGTAGGTGTATTGTAGTTGATCTCCAGACCAGAAAAGAAATATTAACACATAGCTAGTAGCACTACAGTCAAAATAAAGACCCACAGGATAATAGGAAATTCTTTGTTCACCCAGGGAAAGATTTACAGCTTCCTCAGCCAGCCGAGAACATGTTATTATATTGTCAAATTTTAGTAATTTTGCACTGATGCGTAGGAAATCAATTTCAAATCACCAGATATCCTGATGCATTCATTTGGACCCAGCTCCATGGAATGACTTGGCACATTTTTTAGGCACAGTTGGACACCCTGAGTATAAAATTGCCATTCTGAAGGCTCCTATTTAGCTCCCCTCCGACACTGGCAGTGAGTCAAAGCACTAAGTGCCTGTGATTTAGCTGATATTGATACTGCTTCTCAGATGCTTAGAAGCACCTTATCCTTAACAGAACCAACTCTCTGTCTCATGCCAAAACCCTATCATTAGCCACAAATCAGATATCTGTCTGCCTCCGTGGCCTTTGGGGCTTGTTCCAGTTAATTTTCTCTCGGCATTTATTCTGTGCTGCACAGAAGCTGGCAGCATGAGGCATTTTATTCCAAACCACAGCTGCCAAGGATGACCGTGCAGGGACTGGCAGTAGCTGCTCTCAGCCAGTAGGCTGGCGGTCAGAGCATGCTGGGGGCTACGGAGGGCCCCAGGCCTGTCTCCCCTTAGCCTGGATCACTGGTGTGGTCCTCTGCAGCTACAAGGAGTGAGGGAGGCTGGATTCACTATTGAATTTCTTCCAGTTCTGGAGGTGCTCAAGGCCAGGTTGGATGGGGACCTGGGCAGCTTGATCCAGTGGGTGGCAGCCATGCCCATAGCAGAGAGTTGGAGTTCAGTGTTCTTTAATGTCACTTCCAACCTAAGCCATTCTAAGATTCTGTGTCGGGTATCCCCTGTGCTTGTGGATCTTGGTTGAGAAAGGGATGATGGCTCATTTCTGGGGGAAAATAGTGAGTTTGGAGATGAGTGAGCTACAAGAGTAAATAGCTGATAATCGGAATACATGGGAGTGTAAATGGGATCTCTGTGCTGGTTCTCACAGTGCATTCAGAAGTTAGGCTTTTAGCTATTCTGAAGCTGTAAATGCAGGTGTGCTACACTTCATGTGAAATAGTACCTATGAATGGAAATGTGGTGTGAAATCCATCATTATGCTTCTGAAGGTCCCTTCATATGGATGGAAAAATATCCACTGGTGCAGATCAGGGGTGTAATGAGCCAACTTTGCTTTCTGGGAAATCGCTTCCCCCACTCTGTTGGTATAATAAAAGACTCACTACTGTGTTTGACATGTACTGTCTGAGATCCCAACTTTCTGTCCTCATTGCAGAAAATGTTCTATGTGGTAACAGACTCGTATTAATGCAGCTTTCAAGCCCAAATAGAGCCTGATATGTTCTTTTGTAAAAGGAGGTTATAATTTTTGTCACCTACCCGTTCATTTTCAAACTATGAGCTCTTTTCCCCTAATTCTATTGTATCAGGTTTTATATGGAAGAGCTAATTTGCATGCTTTGCCAAGCTACACTGAAAAGATTCCAGTCTGCAGGTAACACTTATTAGCAGAAACAATGCTCCTGAGGTGTGTGTTTGCTTATTTTTCATCTTTAAATAGAAAGGAATGACAAAAAAGCAATTTGTTGACAAGAGAAGGAAGAAGGGATCTCTAGAGGCACTGATGAAGCAGTCATGATTTCTAAATAGCTTTTCATTGATTAATTTTTAACCACTGGAGAGAAATTGAGTATTTCTGCTGAGATTTGAAGGAATTTCCATTACTTGCCTAACAAATTCCGGTTTAGCTTTCTGTGCTAATCTAATCCCTTGGTTGCCAGAGTCTGACATTTGATCACTTCTAGCAGTTTTCCACTGAACATCACTGTTGGGAGAAAAAAACTGTTTTCCAGTTATGGGAAGTCTGACTGAGTCACACCTGGACCTGCAGGGAGTCAACCCCAACCCTGTCTTCCTATACTGGGTCTCAGCTGCCTCTGCTGCCAGTTCCCAGCTGTCAGAGCCAGCAGGATGCACAGGTAGCGTACAGCAAAGGGTGAGCCACAGCCAGTCATGACCGAGCTGCAAAATCAGTGGTGATGTGAAGAGGTGTCTCCTCCTTGTGAGATCAGAGCAGCCATAAGACTTCAGGCAGGAAGATGTGTGAGGTGGCACTGGCTGATTTTATTAGCTGCAGATCCTGCTGGCTGTAATATTAGGATTTTTCAGGAGCTTTGTTGATCGCTTATCTATAACAAATAGTTCACTGCTAAGAGATGAATAAATTGGTTCCCATCCTGACACAGCTTTGGGCATCCATCTTCCCAGTTTGCCATTGTTTGAATTTATAGTGTGTGTCAGAAAGTCAGAAGAAGAGGAGCATGGAAACAGATATTCAGGATTAAATGTAACCAGTTCACTTTCTATTAGCTACTCTTTGTCTAAAAGAATTTCCACCATGCAAAGAGTTAAGGCATCAAATATTTTTATGTGCTAGGGACAAAATAAGTGTAATGCTTGAGAAATATGTTACAGCATTGGAGTTTCAGATATCATTAGTTTAGCTTAGTAGGTAGGAGACATTTTTCAGAGAAACTTGTTTTGCTATACTAAGAAACTATTGAAGAGCTTCACAAGGAATTTTATAGAATTGTAGAATCATAGAATCATTGAATGATTTAGGTTGGAAGGGATCTTAAAGTCCATCCAGTTCCAACTCCCTGCCTTGGGTAGGGCTGCCACTCACTAGAGTAGACTGCACAGGGCCCCATTCCAACCTTGGACTTGAGAACCTCCAGGGATTTCCTGAAGAAGAAATGATTGCCCTACCTGAATACTCTTGAAATCCTAGCAAAAACTTGTTGGGAGTAAAGGCTGCTAGCCACAACTTCACCTAACCAAAATAAGATGTTCTTCAGTACAAATTGCTGATGTCTTCACAAAGTGTCAGCAAACTCTCCTGTTTGATGCCATTCAGGTCCCAGTCTTGCCATGGGTCTGTATGGACAGGCACCATTGGGGTCCAGCTTGGGATGTGTGAGCTTAAGCAGGTTTGTGAGGTGAATGCAATCCCTGCAGCAGACTTACAAGGAGCAGGCAGATGATGTTTCTTCAGCATATCAGAAACTCTAACGTTTTCACCAAAATATTATGAACCCTCCACTGTTGGGAATGCTACTATTTGTGACGTGTGGCACGTGAATTTAAAGATGTTTTGTCTTTGGAAAAATAAATTTTGCTCATTGTATTGCAGTTTTCAGTTAGATCTTTATAAATCAACATTAAGTTTCTGTGAGTGTACTTTCTGTCACTGAATTACAGATCTGTCAGCTGATAAAGGGTAGTGCTGTAGAAAAAGACAGATTTGCCAATTGGTTTATGCTGATCTGGTACAACAGTTTCCTTGTTATTTGATAGAAGCTAAAATGAAGCAACACATTCTGTTATATGCTTATTCTCATATAATGCTACTGATATGTGGCTGACTGGGATGCTTCTCTTGGTTTTATGAAACACAGGGGCAACAATCTGTGTGTGCATATTGGACTTGCTGAAGATAAAACAGTGTGTCAGATTTGGTGTGGAAAGGAATGGTGGTCTGCAGTAGTGGCAATGGCCATGTCTCCTATGACATTATTATGGCCAAGTGTTTACTCCTGGGCTTTTTGTTTAACACAACCATAGGGAAATTCCATGGAAAATTTCAGTTCCTTCTGCTGTCAGACAAATAAGGTGTGTTGTTATCACATTTTAATAAAAGGTAGATACAGCATTAAAAAAGAAAAAGAAGATCAGGACTTGCAATTGCTTGTATTAATATATAATATAATTTAAGTTTGACTTGACCTTTGTTTATCTTTAGATCTGCCATCCAGAAGCTGGGAGAAGAGGTATTTGAGAAGGTATACAGCTATCTGAAGCAGGCGAGACAGCAGAAGGCCAGTGAGGAGGAGATAACGAGACACCTGGAGAAACTGGTTCCTAGAGCAAGCGATTGCTTTGAGGTGGATCAGCTCCTCTACTTTGAGGAGCAGCTGCAAGATTCAGCATCATATCTTCAGCTGTAAAATGTGCTGGTAACTGTACAGGAAATAATGAACAAGACTGACAGTGCTGAGCTGCTTGCTTCAGGCCAGCCAGCAAATCCTGGAGGAGTCTGGAGGAAACTGCTGAGGGTAACTCAGAACATAAACAGGTAGGCAGGCTCTTGGAGAGTCCAGTCTGTGCAGTGAGCAGCGGGTAAGTACAGTATAGATTACAAGGGTAGGAAGAAAAACTTATAGAGTAGAGGGGAGAGTTCATAATTATCAGTGCTCCCTTCACTGCTTAGGGAAAATGGAAGAGTTTTCTTGGACACTAGCCAGCGTCACTGGCAAAGCTGCCTCTGAAGGCAGTGGTGCAGGATTAGGCTCCAGCTGTTGTTTATTTCTGCACTGACTGGCCCCTGTGGCATTTAAGCACATCTGTTTTGTACTATGGCAGAATACAAACGTGTGGCTAAGACCTGAAGACTTATACAATAGCTAACATCTGCAGTGTGCTAATCTACCACAGTTTATGGCTAAACTGTCTTGTTACCATTCATTGTCTAAAGAACTGTATTTAATCTGTGTGTCTTTCAAAGGAACTGTGAAAATATAGATCATAGAATCAGTGAATGGCTTGGGTGGAAAGGACCTTAAAGGTCATGAAGCTCCAACCCCTGCCATGGGTGTGCACAGGCACTTCCCACCAGATCAAGCTGCCCAGGGCCCTGTCGTACCCAGTCTTGAATGTTTCCAGGCATGGGGCATCCACAACTTCTATGGGCAGTCTGTGCCAGGCCTCACTGTCCTCTGAGTGAAAGTTTTCTTCTAATATCTAATTTAAGTCTCCCCTCTTTTAGTTTAAAACCATTCCTCCTTGTCCTGTCACTATCAGATCATACAGAGTTGGACTAACTCCTGTTTATAAGGTCTTTTTTAGTACTGGAAGGCCATAGTGAGTTATACTCTCCAGACTGAACAAACCCAGCTCCCTCAGCCTTTCTTCATAAGAGAGGTGCTCCAGCCCTCTGATCATCTTCATTGCCCTCCTTTGGACGCACTCCAACAGCTCTGCATCCTTCTTGTGCTGGGGGACCCAGACCTGGATGCAATACTTGGGCAAAACAGAAGGGGATGATCCCCTCCTGCTCCCTGCTGGCTGCCCTTCTTTGGATACAGTCCAGGATACTGTTGGCCTTCTTGGCTGCAAGTGCACATTATTGTCTCATGTCAAGCATGTGTATGTATAGTCATCCACGTTACTCACATACATAGAAATAGGTATGTATATGCATGGAGATGGGAAAACATTTGGCCACATTGTTGTACATGTTTAAGCTTACAGAGAGAGATGAGGCTAGAGCTGTAGATGACTATAATATCTAGGAATTCTCATTACAGATTCTCAAAGTGTTTTTTATCACTGTACACAGAACAATAAATCAATTTTCTTTTGCTTGCATACAGATAATGGTATTTTTTTCATAACATTTGTTTCCCTCTTCATATGCATCGTTCTTTTGCTGATAGGAAGTGTATATTACTCTGTGATAACATACCTGTGCATTCTGAGCTCCTTTGCCTATCTGCGTAACAGATAACAAGCAATACAATCTATAGAAGAATCTCAAGTGAATTGTGGACTGGTTTAGTTTTAGCCATCTAGCCAATATCAAAAGCCCTGTGTATTCTGTTTTTTTGCCATAACTCTTCAAGTACTCACGAGCTGAATTAAATGAATAAAAGTAAATTCATAATGTGAACTTCAAAAAAAAAGTTGCTACTCGACTTGGACTACGACTAAGGATATTGGGAGTGGCAGTAAAGTAAGAGCAGAACTGATTCATCTTTGTGACATGCTTGAAGAGATTCAAAGGGAACAGCAATTGATCATCCTTATCCATCCCAGCAGTAACACAGACTGCAGAAGAAAAGTGCGTGCCCACCTAAGGAAGATGTGGCCTTATACTGCCAGCTCAAAGTAGGAGATCCTGGTATGTCTGACTTCAGCTTCTGCTGGGACTACATGAATGTGAAGTGATATTTGCTGAGGTTGCAAAACTGTTTTTGTCTGTGTGATGTTTCAAGTCTCATAGGCGGAGAGACAGTTTGAAGCACAGATTCTCAGCCAGACTTCAGTCCCCATTCTTCTCAGTGTTATATTTGTGTCCTCGATTCCATATGTTTTATACACAACTTCAATTAAGGCCACTTAAATATCAAAATAAGAGGAGTGCTTGGATGTTGATGGAATGAAGAAGTTCAGAGAGTAAGCAACTAGCATACCATGAGAATAATGTCAGAGAGCTGCAACCTTGTCTATTACACCCACCTCTGGCTGTGATTCAGACTGCTTTTTCATGAAAGCTTCAAAATCAAACTCTGTAGCCATCAATTGCTTTTAGGCATGTTTTATTTGTATTAATTTTCATATTTTATTACTCACAAAGCACTCAAACTCTCTGCTTAATACATGGACTGTTTTGAATGCCATGCTTGCTAATGCGTTGCATTGTAATAGAATTATTAATGTCTGTGCAAAATGTCATGCGTGTATGGGAACTGTTGAGTCACAGCCTGAAGCACTGATTGATAACCTGAGGCAAGCACTGAGTCAGCCATGGAGCACAGGTGGAGGCAATTCAGCTGTGTGATGAAAGGGGTAGAGCCTGGCTGCACCTCTCTAGACCCGTTTAAGGGCGGACTGCCACTGGGGAAGGATCTCTTTCTGGAGGTCCCTCATCTGTGGAGTCTTTCCTGCAAACCTAGATCTTCAGATACGGGTGAGCCTTCCTTCCCTGTTCGTTTCTTTTCCTATTTTCACCACGATAATCTTTCCAGTTGTAACACCAACTGTAACACACGTGTAATAATTATCTGCACACTTGAAAACAGTCTTGAAGTCAGTTTGAAGTTGTTGTTTTTGTAGGGTTTTTGTTTGTTTGTTTTTTTACTCTTGAAAACACAAGTTTTCAGACCTGAAGGCTTATACAATAGCTAGCATTTGCAGTGTGCTAATCTACCATAAGTACTAGCAACATTCTGAATTCACATAAATAAGGTAATCAAGAAATGGAAAAAGAAATCAACAAAAGGACTGTCTCCCAATAAAGCCCTGCCCTTTCCAGGTCACATCCATTTCAAAGTTCTCAACAAACTGTTGAGTTTACATCATCCAGATTGTGGCCAGCTCTCAGAGACAGGTCCAGCCCTGCTGTAACTTTATATAACTCACTGAAATTGTCTTCTCTTTTTCTGTCTCTTGAACTCTTGGGGAAGGATATGCATCAGTTCAGCTCCATTCTGCAGCTTGTTAAACCTTTTCCATACCTGGATTTTAGGCTGTCTTCACATAAAAGCCTCTGAGTCTTCTCTTGCACTGTGTAGTTAGTAGCTATCAGTGGGCATCTGGTGTGTTATCCCCATCACTGTAGAAATCGGTACGTAAGTCCAAACGTGTGACAAAGAACAGTTTTGCATATCCTGGGGCAGAGAGGTTGGTGCCACAGTGTCTATAGACTGTCTCTGGTGAGCTTAGTGAGACTGCACTTGATACAGTACTATGAGGATTAGATGGAACAGTGTTGATTGAGATGCCATGCTGACAATCTCTTGTGTGTGGTTATCAGATTGATCATTTTTCTGTAATCACATTTGAAAGGAGAGGAGTGAACTCTGAACTAACAAAATTAGTCACTCCTAAGAAATGCAAAAAGTTTCAAGAAAAGAGGTGCTCAGGAAAACAGAGCAGAACAGTCACTATTTCATGATGTCCATGAAGGAATGGTTGTGCCCCATCAGGCTGTCAGCAGGCCTCGCTGCTCTGCAAACAGCTCAGTCTGCAGAGATGTGCAGAATCCTTTTCTAACCTGGTAAACTATTGATGGATGGGGAGAAATAAAATCATCGCATTATACTGAGATCTAGACAAACACCATGAATCACCATAAAAGATTTTTCCTTAGAAGATCAGATCTTACGTAAAACATGTTTTAATTTTCAGGTTCATTGTGCTTGCTGGGGAAAGAACCTTACAAAGAAGAAAAGACTGTGTCCCTATCTTTTATATATGAAATGCATTCCATACACTGAAGTAAGTTCACACCCAGCAAAATCCCATTGTTAGTATCGTGGATCTTCAGTAATAAAGTAATAGAGGAGCAGCTGGACATAAATGTAAGAAAATAAATGTAAAGATATTAGATTGCTGTGTATAGGCCTTCATAAAAGGTCCCGTTTGACCTACATACTTGTACCAAAAGCTTCACAAGCATCAGGCAACCTTGCTGTTTTTTTATTGACTCTCCTAAAGACTCTACAAGCTGTATTACTTGATGCAGAGATATTGCAAACAAAGGAAGTGAGGCAAGTAATTATTTAATGGTTTGGGGCCTTGAGCTTACTAAAAGAGTGCTTGGACTATAAAGAGGAAAAAGACATTTGAGTTCTTTGATAAGAAATAGAGCTGTCAACATCTTGTCCACAGGTGGATTAGAAGACAGACCAATTATATTAGTTACAGAAAACAAGAAGTAAGTCCTTTCTTAGAGGTGACTGGCTTGCCAGATAATCCCTCAGAAAGCACCAGAAGGCATCTGTCTATACGGTGAATTGTCAGAGGTTTCCAGTGTCTGAAAACCCTTTCCAGTCCTTTTCCAGTGCAGGGAAGGATCACCCTTCCCACAGAACCTGGCTCTGTGGGTGCTGCCCAGTGATGATTTGCTCTGAGGTGCACTCAGGGCCAGAGCGTGAACCTACCCCTGACGTGGCCAGAGATCTCCCCTGACCACTGCTGGCTCTCAAAGTCCACGCAAACCAGGATGGTGGAGCGTTGAGCAAACACACAGGCAAGAAAAAGGTAGGAGACAGCAAAGGATGCTTACAGTTACCTCTAAGACTGACCTATTGGTGCACTAGAGTGAAAGAATTTGTTGAATAAGAGGGAAAAAAAGCAGGAGATTCAGGAGCATGTAAACTTGATTTCATGTTTTGTTCATGTGCTTGCATCATATCATAAACTGAAGACCCTATAGGCTCCTCTGAATACTGTGTTATTCAGGAGAGAGAGGTTGAGAGGTTAAGGAGTCCAAAACTGGACCCTAATTCAGGTACAGCTTCATCTAAGCTGTTATGAGTACTAAATTCATTGTCTGCTGGCCATGTTCCTCCTAATTTATATCATCTCAGAATGATAGAATGAATTTCTAGCTTATATTCACCCTAGAAGCTACTGCAAACTCTAAGTCCTCCTTATAAAGTCTGATGCTCAGCCATATCATAGGGTTTGTGCTGCCCAGGTGCAGGACTCTGTGCTTTTCTACTGAACTTCATGACAATTCTAGTGGCTCAGCCCTCTATCTTCCCCAGGGCCAGTGAGGCCCTGCTGCATGTCTTCTCATCTACCTCTTCTAGGTTAGTAACATCCCCGGATGTGCGGAGTTCATCTGTTCCCATCGTAGTTGCTGACAAGATGATGAGCAGTACGGGCCCCTGGGTCAGCCCTGAGGTACTCCATTGGCTGCCACTGGATGCTACGCCTTGAGATGGGCAATCTTCAGCTCAGTTAAGTGTACGTTCATCCATTCCTTATCATTGGAACTTCCAAATATACCATACTGGCAAAGAATAAAGGTCTTAGTAAAATCAGGGTATATAACACCCACGTTCCTCCCTTCTTTCATGTAACTCATCATAGAATGAGTGACAAATTCTGTCCTTGATAACTTTATTATCCCTGCGGGTCCCTCAGGGACTGCTTGTTGTGCCATAGCCCACAGGTATTCCCTCGGGCTGTACTGTGTTCCCTCAGCATCTCTAGTATGGTTTTTATTTCAATTTTTTTTTTCCTATACTTCAGCCTCCTTTTTCTGGCAGAGGCTGCTATATTGATTCACATCTAGCAAGAGTCAGCAGTGTGAGGGTAGTCTTAAATAATGCAGTGGGGTTTGTGCCATCTGCTCTCTGTGAGCTCCAGTGAACTCCGTAAAGCTGCTGTGGGACCTTCCTAGTGTGCGCTGTCTTGTCCCCCTCTCCTCCACCTGCACCTCAAGGACAGAAAGCAACAGAAACTCAGGGTGCTCACAGGAACAATCCTTATTATGGAGAGAGACTGCCTCACATTTGAGGGTGAGCATTATTCTCTTGATGCCTTTGGGCGTCTGACACTTGGTGGTGTATTGCTACCATCCTAACCCTGCCAGTGAGCTTTGGAGTCTGCTCATCTTGAGTGTTCTTTTGGGAAGAGCTTGGCTCCTAATGCTGACAGGAACTGCTCCGGCCTCCCCAGTGTCCTGATTTTGCCAGTTACTGACACTGAGGCACATCCTGCTATAGGCTGCCTTGGGGCTGGTTTGTGAGAGGGGTGCTGCTCAGCCAAGCTGGGGTGAGGATGTGGAAGAGTGCACTGGATCACCTGCAGACCTAGCTCCAGGCCTCAGCATCTCCAGGGTGCTGAGGGAGGAGCCCAGGTTTTGCTGCATCCCTCCATGAATATGTCTGGATTCATATTCATGATGCAAGAGCCGTTTTGAGCTAATAGCGTGCTGGGGAGATTTGCAGAGAGCGAGAAAAAGAACTCTCATGAAGACAATGAGTCTCCAGACTACCTAATGACTACTTAATGAGTGTCTAAGCATTGCACCGTTATTGAATTTTAATTGCCTTCTCTCTGTCTTTGTGCTTTAAAATGAAAAAGAAGAAAACACTGCGTGTAATGAGGGTGGATGATTAAACAGTAATACCTAAGAGACAGCCAGGCATGTGTGGATAAGACCACAATAATAATGCAATGAGAGAAAGCAACACTTCTGTGTGCATGCCATCTCTTTGGATAAAAAGTGTGTTTTTACAATTGTTAAAAATTTAAGCTATTTTCAGCATCATTTGGTAGAATAATAGATTAATGTGTATCTGTGAGGCAATTAAAGTTACACTGAGTGAAATATGGGTTAATTGTTAATGTACAAAAAATCCAATCCACGTTACCAGGTCAGTGCAGATGGGCTTTTTAAAGATCGCTCTTTGGTGTTGCGTTGTTACTGATGTCTGCTCGGATTATGTTCCATCATGTTCGATGTGCAAGCATAACTTTGAGCAGTAGGTAGTAATGAAAGAAGACAAAGGGAGCCCTATATCCGTGAAGCATTTAAGCATGTAGTTAGCTTTGTGCACCAGCCCCACTGCTCCTAGGTGAGCAGTTGTGCTGCCAGGAACACAGGTGGGTATTGCTGAGAGAAACACAGGACAGGGACTTTTTGCTCCTCAGCAAGGTCTTCAGATCTACAGGTCCCAGCTCTGAGGCAACGAGCACCATCGCTGGTGTTCTTGACATTGCCAGCTCTTCACTGGTGGTCCAAAGTGTCCACCATGGATAGCACTGATGACACCATTAGCTCCTGAGCTGAATTCAGGCTAATGCAGTTCACTTATCTGACAAGAATAAGCTGAAAAAAGCAATGTAGAAGGCACTGTTGTTCTAGGGAGGCATTATTTAGCACGAGGAATGCATGAAGGAGTTGACTGAGACAGTGCAGGGGGAAGCCACTGAAGAAAGAGCTGCTGTGTGTCACCTCTGCATCATCTTCAACATCACTGGCAATGGAATTTCTTCCCAGAAAAGGGCCTAGCCTAGAAAACAACAATTATTTCCTTACAGTCTAGTTAGTCACAGAGCCAGAGAGCTCTCTCTTATTGCAAAGTAGAGAAAATGTTCAGTTATGTTAAGGACACTGTAGAGACCCAGATCAGGAGCCAAGACACTAAATCTGGATGGGACAGGGGAAGAGACAAGACACAAACAACACAAATTAAGTTTGTTTTGCGTTTCCTCCTTCAGCAGCCTTCCTAGTGTCCACAGGCACTCTCTCAAGTACTCCTGGGATGCATCAGTACAAAGGTGAAGATCCAAAAAGGCATGTAGTGAAGCTGCTGCAATTACCTACAATCTATATGGAGAGCACTCTGAAAACAACCGAAGATTCAATAGAAAGCATTCCCTGAAGGCGTCAACTACCAGCAGGGAGTTCCCAGAGGAAATGGCTGTTTGCCTTTGCTGGTAGCCCTGTCAGAACCAACGTGACCCCTACTCACAGTGACTGACCACATGCCCCTGCTAGTCTGCAGATTAGAGGTGCATTTTTCTACTAACAAAAAGCATTTGCAGGCAGAAGAATAAAATGGGCCATTAGACCATTTTCTGCTCCCTGGAGCTTCAAAGCTGTGCACCCTCTATACCCAAAGAGCAAATGCTGATTTTCCAAGGTATTGTATGGATAGGTTTTACTTTGGTGCTTTTTAAACCTCCTGACCTTGCAAGCCACCAGCATCAGCAGAGCAATGGCTTAATGCTGAGGGCTGTTACACGAGGCACCATGTGCTCATAGTGCCTGAGGCAGACACTGAGCCTGGACACTCGTGTTCCAATTATCTTCAAAACACATATCACTGTATGCTTTTTGTGTGGACCACTCTTTCACCCATTTAACAATGTCAGGTCAATTGAACTAAATGAATGTAAATTTAAATAATCAAAAGAGAACAAACTTTTTTCTTCTGTCTCTATTTGTTTGGATCTAAGAAGCCCTCTAGGATGAGAAGGAATGGCCTCAAAGTGCCAGGTAGGTTCAGGTTGGATATTAGGACAGATTTCATCTCTGAAAGAGCGCTGAGGCAGTGGCACAGGCTGCCCAGGGAGGTGGTGCAGTCACTGTCCCTGAAGGTGTTCAAGAACCGTGTGGATGTGGCACTGAGGGACGTGGGGCTGGGCTGATGGTTGGACTAGGTGATCTTAGAGGTCTTTTCCAAACTTAATGATTCTGTGATTCTCTCATGAGTGAGTTTGGGGTACTGTGCATCACAGCTGTTTCCAACTCCTCGAAACATTTCAGAAAAGTCTCCCTCCACGTTCCCAATGATAGAAGTAAAACTTATGGGTACAACTTTTCAGAAACTTTGGATCAATTGTTGCAATCTCTGTTTATAAAGAACTACCTTTTAAGTGACACCAGAGCTATGTAGGTGTCACATCCATTCTTCTGATTTTCCTTTCTTAAGAGTTGATATTTTCCTTTATACTTCCCAAGCATTGCCTCCACTTTAAATTGGTTCTGAATGTTTGAAATAATTACAAACAAGGGTTCTTCCTGGGGATGAAAGCAAAGCATCAAGGAAAACATCACAGCAAGACAAAAATAATATTCTGGCTGAAGAGACTCCACAAAGCCAAACATCAGAGAGTCAACTCAGTAAAGAATTAAATTTTCAGCTACCAAAAGAAGAAGCAGGTTTCCAGAATTCTTCCATGTCAAGAAATACCTAAGAGGCTGTAATAAAAAGAAGCCTATTTGAGCTTTATTCTTAGAAAATAAATCGACAATATTTTAGTGTCATCAGCACCTGAATCTAACTCTTTGCCATCAAAATACTTATTTTATTGCTGCATTAGTAATCAGAAGAGATGGTAGAAAAGTTGTGCCATTATTGTCATCTAAGAAAAATACAGTTTTTCAAGTAATTGATCAAAAGTTTGGCAGCCAAAAGTGTAACGTGGCCTGGATGAGTGAATGTGGAGAAAGATACTTATCTTCAGGATTGATGTCTTTTTTGTAGGAAAGTAAAAGGAATTTGAAAATGTCTGAAGTATGAATTATATAAACTGGTTTTGTGAAAATGAGCTTCAATCAAACAAGCTTTGATTTCCCAAAAAGAATAAGACACATTTTGCACTTTCAATGTATTCAGTTGCAATCAAAAAGACTGGACAGATTTGACTTCTTTCTTTCTTTCTTTTATTATTATTTTTTTTCTGGCAACAAATTTGAGGATTTGTGAAACATGAGATGATATAATAATGGCCTCAAGTTGTGCCAGGGGAAATTCAGGTTGGGTGTTAGGGCAAATTTATTCTCCAAAAGAATGGTCAGGCAGTGGAATGGGCTGCCCAGGGAAGTGGTTGAGTCACCATTCCTGGAGGTGTTCAAGGGAAGCATTTAGATGTTGTACTGAGGAACATGGTTTAGAGGGGAAATATTGGTGGTGGGTGGACTGTTGGTCTGGATAATCTTGGAGGTCTTTTCCACCATTGGTGATTCTAATGATTCCCATTAATTATAATGGGTGGTGTTCTCAAATCCACAAAAATTTATATTTCTCCCTGGTAAAGCACCAATGCAATTAAAGCAGCAAAAGCAAGAATATTCCCTGAGAGCCACAGACTTACTTGTGTAGATCATGTCTCTGGTGTATGGTAGCAGAGCCTGGTAAGGATGACTAACAGAATTTCAGGCCAAAATGGGAATCCATTTCTGGCTGTCAGAACTCCAGGAACAGTGCACATTTGAGCCATCCATGGGTGCTCCATCTACCTTCAGCTCTGGAAACAACCTCTGAAATAGAGGTGTGTAAAGGTAACTTAAAACTAAAGGACCTTTCCAGGGAGAGAAGCGTTAATCTTTAGCCATGATCTGCATGAAGTAAGCAGCTGAACCCTTGGAATGGCACTTTTACCAGAAATCTGCTTCACCTCAACATCAGCTCTTTTCTAGATGTAGTTCAGTGTGCTATATTCAGAGCTCAGAAAGCAATCCATGCTGAGCTGGGTTTACTTCGGGCATTTTATCCAGCAGCGGTGACCTCTAGAGAGCCTTTCACACTGCTCATTGTGCTGTAACTCAGCAGTGACAGAACAATGTGGGAGAGGTGAGGCCTTGCCCAGAGCCCACAGCTGTATCTAACTTGGCTGCCCCCATACCCTGGCATAGGCCATGGGTCAGGGCTTCTCCTGTCCCACTCTGGGCTTCTTCCTGGATCTGTGTGGACAGGAATGTGGGACATCACATAGGCAATGCCATACACAGCAGGTAAAACTTCAGTGCTGCTGCTACGTGTATGGAAGGAGTCTGCACAGCTGGACTGCTGTGGGGGACGTGTGAAGTCGCCATCCCTGGAGGTGATCAAGAAATGTGGGATATGGCACTGAGGGACGTGATCGGTGGGTAATACTGGTGGTAGGTGGATGGTCAGATTAAATGGTCTTTGAGGTCTTTTCCAACCTTAATGATTCTATGATCTGTCTATAATTCAAACAAGGCAAAGTAGTCTCATCCAAATGATAGAGTTGGGGCTGAGGTGCAAAGGGCTATTGCTTTCTGTATCATTGTAACCATTTATCCCTTATGCTTTTGTCACATCCTTCTCACAGCTATGAGTTACTGTCACTGAAGACTGGAAGCAATTTACTGCCACCTACACACAAGTAGCTAATTATAGCCCAGGAGCAGGCAGAAGGAGCCAGGTACATTATGAATCTGTTTTTATTAATGAGCAAGCAGCTAGGCTGAGGATTTCCAATTATGCTCTGTGTGTCGGCAGCAGATTTGCTAATATCCTGGCTTCTGTTTCAGGAACTATTACAGCAGTCCTGCAGAGTAGATGTATGCTCCCAGTAGGGATGATGAGTGACAGAGCCCTGAAAGAAGTACACCATGCCTTCAAACACCATGTGCCATTGCCCACTGGCCTTTAGACGCCCACTAACTTTAATATCTATTGAGGAAGCAGGACAGAAACTCATTTGGTGGTGACGTGAGCTTTAGGCACTTATTCTCTGAAAGAGCTCTCTTGCTTGGAGTCGTGACTTTCTGTTTTTCCTTTTTCCACTTAATTCCTTGCATAAGCACTGCTGTTGTTTCTGGCTGTCCAGAGTTTGGTGACTCCTCAGTCACCACTGTTGGCTGTGAGCACTAACAGCACTGTAAACATGCCAGCCTTTGCAGAGTCAGATAGGACTGGCAGGGCTGAGCTGAGGTTTCCCACAGCTGGAATTGCTGGGGCACATCCCTTCTGTCCTGCAACTTTATCCAGAACAGGGCACTGGGGAGCACTGGAGAGGAGGCAACGCTCCTCCTTCTTACCTAGCAAATCAAACGTGTAGAAGAGATCGCACAATGTGAGGCCTTCTGCAATACTGGAGCGCTGCTAAATGTGTCTGAGTTTACATCTGGGTCTGATGATTTTAATATCAGCCATCAAACATAATAGAGCAGACTACCTGAATTTCCTTCCTGGGATAATAAGATATACTGAAATAGGAATGATTCTTTTCATGTTAATAAACTGACTGAGTGCTTTTCATTGCATCGGCACCGTGAGGAATTTGAACTCAATTCAGAACAAAGCCCTTGATCTGCCAGCAGACTGAGTGGACATTGTTTGAATTATGCCATTGTTTTAACATTTATTAATGTGATGGTAAAGCTTCCGTCCTTCAGCAAATGGTCACTGTTGAAATATGAACTTCTTCATTAAGGAAAATTAAGGGAGAAGTGTAATGGACAACAGTGTGCTCTGAAATGTTATTCTTGTTGTATAAGCTCTGTGTTATGGTTTTACCCAGAGCAGGCAGCCAGGCAGGATCACCAGCAGTGTACCTGTTCAGCAAGCAGGGCAGCTCCAGAGGATGTAGAAGTGAAAAAACAAGCTGTGACAGACAGCTGGGGCAAATGAATGAGAAGGGAAATGGCAAAGGAGCAAACCAGTGTGACACATCAGCACAGGTAAGCCCATGTGCACTACACAGCTCCAGAGAAGCACCAACTTGCTCACATGAGAGCATTTTGTGCACAGGGATGAAGAAGGGATGGGAGTCAGAGATGTTTGCAGTAGAGAAACTCAAAAGTACTGGCTGCAGAATCAGACAAATTGACATACTTCCACGAATAGAGAGAGCAGGCAAGAAAATGAGGTGATAATGAAAGAATTGAGCTAATCCAGGAGATAGATGATGTTTGGGTCTGATATGCTTTGTGAGTTTGATATGTCAAGAGGTGTGTTGACTAAGTTTTTCAATGAATGTGCATACGGACATGCATGATAGCTAATAATAAGCACGGATTGATCAGAAAGACTTGCACTAAGTATTCTTTTATCTTTAGACTTGTGGGTAGCTCTGTGCATTGCCCACTCTGCTCATTTCTACTGAGAGAAATTTTGTCCACCACTAAAAATTACATGTTAATACCCTGTGCAGTGGTTGCATCTGGCTTATGGACACCAGACACTGCTACCTGATCAATGAAATGGTATGGCTTGGTGGTGGCTGCTCTCTCAGAGCTCTCTCAAATGCCATTTCACAGTCTGTGGGTTTGATGTGGTGACTGCCAAGTGCAGCAGGTCTCAAGATGGGGAGCAAAGAGAATTTCTTTTAGATCTGAGCTATCAGAAGGAAGAGGCAACTTGCCAGGCCACTGGGGAAATGGCTTTTTGGGGTGGCCAGAGAGATGGTGGGAAGAGACCAGACTGGGGAAGAAAGCCATACAAGGGCAGGAAGCAGTGGCTGGGGACAAGCAGATGTCTCCACGCTAAGCTAGAAATTGGTTTACAGTCCCTGCCCCACTCCTTTCATCACCTATCTCAAAACCTCAACTCTAATTTCTGCTCCTGCTGAGATGACCCCACATTATTGATTTCCTGAGATCCCACAGAAATCACAGGGGATAGCAATGAGCCGCACAAAGAAATGAGCAGTTTGCAGTATCACTGAGACACCCGTTAAGTGGCTCGCAGACTTCCTCACTGACAGCTCAAAAACTACCTGTCAGTGGGGAATTGTCATCCAACTGTTTTTGTTTTTTTTTCTTTTTTTTTCCCCAGGGGGGGGTTTGAAAGTATTGGAATGGGGCCAAAAGCACTCTGTGCTCCTATCAGTGGTCTGAAATGGAGCGTAATTTCTTTGCTGTCAGAATGTGATAGCACAACAATTTGTAATGGGGAAATGACAGGGAAGGCAGGGTAGCCATGCAGGGTAATCTGGTTGTGGTGGGAAGCAAAATGTACTCAAGAGAGGCCAGTTCCTGGGCTATGGTCAGCAGATGTGGAGGGGGGAATTACCTCACCTCTGGAGAGCTCCTTGGGCCTACACAGAACCAGCACCTGAGTGAGCATTTGTAAGACAAAATCTTTGCTGATGGACATTCCTAAGGTGTAGAGAAGAAGGACTGGGAAGTATAAATAGAAGGGTGGGAGATAATGACAGACTGTCTCTTGTGCATCACCTGGCATTCTGTTGGACTGAGCCTGAAAACATATATGAAGACAATGGAGAGGGGCAGAAAACATCCAGAGCAGTGTTTGAGCACTTCCTCTGAGTCATGTAGTCAGTTTATTTCAATAAAGACAGAAGATTAAAAGATGACTCGTTGATCCTTCCTGTTGGGAAAAATACCAAGTACATAAAGCTTTCTTGTACTTTGAGATGAAACATGGTCCCAAAGCCTGCAGCTGAGCAGGGAATCCAGCTGAGCTCAGGTTGGCACATTTACTGGTGAGGACTGGTGGAAAGGCAGAATCTCAGCTTCAAGTGACCTGCAAATCAATGCCTGAAGACCCTGTGCAGGTCTGAACAGCACAGTTACAGGGTTCAGGCTTCAGCTCGGTGTGGAGCTTTGTAGGTGAAACAAAAGGACAGGGATATTCAGGGAGTGACGGCCTTTCTGCCTTCCTGGGCAGCTCTGCAGGTATGCTTTTTATGCCATGATGCAAGCAAGCAGCAGTTATTTTCATCAGCAGGATCTTTTTGTGTTTGAAAGTGCTAGGGAGAATGTTAGCTGATTGGAGAGGTGTTGTCTTCTTAAGGAACATCACACTAGGAGTGTCAGCCATGGCTGGTTTTCTTTTCCAAGAAAAACAATGCAGAGAATTTCACACTTATACTACAGCACCTTTTGTTTAATCAGGAAAAAAATCTAAAGAGGTGTTGTTGCTACATCTGATTGCAAAAGCCTTGATCAGTCTTCTCTAGTTTTAGCTGCATTTGCTTCTGTAAAGATCGTCACCTCCCATTGGAAGTGCAGCAGAACATGGAGGGCTGCAATTATTCAGTTAGGAACGATTTGTTGTTGCTTCTGCCTGGTTAGTCTTCCCTCACTCAGCTGATGCCACTCAGAAAAGGGCTTTTGTTGAAAGGAGGAGATGCTTAACAGGCTTGACAGATTGCAGCATAATTGGCTTAATTCCCCAGAGACTAAGACTCAGAACAACTTTTCAAAGTTGAAACAAAAGTGGTGCAAGAAATCCTTTTCCTTTTCACTTTGGCACACAGATCACCTCACCACAGATGGATTTGCCTGGGAAGACTCAGCCATGAAAAGTATTTCAGAGCCCCTGATTGGACCTCAGGTATGGTGTTCCCATTGCTTTCCTGCAACTTGTTATAATTATCTCGCTAAATTAATTTCCATTAATTGATTTGATTGAGCCTATTCAGATGAGGGTAGTGTTTTAGTGTTTCTTCTGATACCTTAGTTCCAGTGATTCAGACCAGCTGCTACCTATAACTGTCTTTGGCTTTGTTCTGTGGAGTCCCAAACTGTTATTTTGTTATAACTGCCAGAATATGCCCACTGCTCATGGGCAGAAAGAGAAATGGACTAAAACCACAGTGTATTCCTTGAGACAGAGACTTGCCTAGATTGTGGAAACTGAGGCTGTTGTTGAGCATCTCTCACAGTCAGGGGGTAAGGAGCACCAGCTCAGAGTGGCAGAGTAGATATGAGAGGTGAGCAGCACCTGCAAATTATACCTTAAGCACAAGAAATAAGCATTATCAAACATGTGATCATAGAAGCTGTGGTGCCCCATTCTGGAGGCACTCAAGGCCAGGTTGGATGGGGCCCTGGGCAGCCTGATCTGTGAGCAGCAGCCCTTCCCACTACAAAGGGTTTGAGCTCAATGACCTTTATCATCACTTCCAACACAGGCTATTCTATGATTCTGATTTGCTATTTGTACTCTATGTATGTATCAGGCTGCTGATGGCAGCCCAGAGCCAGCTGTTTACCCACTGCCTGTCCATCCCCAAACTGTGGCATTTTGGCTCCTTCTAAGCCCCACAGCTCTACTCTGAAGAAAGGTGACAGTTGTCCTTCTCTGACTACCCAAACAAAGAGGCTCTATGTGGTATTAAACATACAGTATTTGTGTTTGAGTCAGTATGTCTAAAATGTCCTTTGAATGAAACAAAACAGTGCAAGGAGGTGAGTGCCTCATTCACCATATTATTATCTACTTCCCCCCATTTCAGAGTTGGGAAGTGCTGATCCCTCTCATGTTCATTTTCACAGAAAGTATAAGCTACTGCTGGAAAGAAATGTGGTTACAGCTCCAGATCCACCCATGGGAAGGGAGGGCTGGGAGCACTGCAACACAGGCACTGAAGGATTTGTCAAGGTTTAATGTGGACAGGCACAGATGCAGCAGGTGTTTGCCACAGGTGCATTGGAGAAACACTATACATTGCCAGATTTTACTGCTGATGTGTTCTGCAGTCTAAAGGTCTCACTGTGCAATGTCTTCCAAAATCTATCTAGATTACCTAGAATGTGAAAATCTACAATTGTTTTCAGATCCCCAGTGCTCTTTCAGTAGTCTGCCTTGATATGATGTCTTGCTCCAATTTATAGGAGGGAGAGTAGGTTCTTTGACATATGTATACCCCATGTGAGATTAAGAAACAACAGTTCAAATGGCGGCCCAAACAGTTTATTACAAATCTTAATCAGGAAGATGGGGAAGGGGAGAAGAGTGATAGAAACGATAGGAAATAGAAGCAAGGAGCCTTTGTAGGAAGCAAGAGGGAGATAGCCATCACCATGGGATCCAGCATGGTTCGTAGTTCAGTAGTGGTGGGTTGTCGGGCGTTGTTGTTTCATTGACAACAACAACTTTTCAATGTTAGTACCAATTTATTTACAAGTCCAAATTGGTCAAGTCAGCTCTTTGGAGTGACCAGTTCAAATCTAAAGTGATCAAGTTGGCTCTCCTTGAAGTGGCAGCTCCCGCCTCTGGGGACCCAGCAGAAACTCCTTTGTTCCTATCTTCTGGGCCTTGCCAGCAGATAAGAGGGAGCAGGGATGCCCACCTGCATCCTATTTTTCACAGGACACGATGGTATCATTCCCCAGTTTTCCCATACCAAGCTGGAGCTATTTAGTCACAGGCCAGATCTTTCACCAGTAAACACTCATGAGCACTCTCTTCCAGAGGCAAACAGCTCTGGAAGAAGGTGCTTTCAAATGTCCACAAAGTGATGTTCATTGTCATACAGTAGCACCCATCACTTGCCTCTTCAATAAATCAGTTAGAGTCTTATCACAAGAAATACCTCAGGAAGCATACTTTGAGCCAGAAAACAAAGAAGGGTTCTCACAGGTGACAATGCATACATTGGTTCTCATGCTCTTTTTATAGGATATAGTCTAAAGTGTTGCTGTACAAAGTCTGCATTCAATAGTGAGCAGCTGGGCTCTCCACAACTACTTCTAGCTGCATAATGGGTAACTGGAAAGGGCAGCTGATAACAGCTGAACAGACTGATAAGCCCCTATTGAAGCATTAGCAGGCCTCAATGACCTGCAGCATGGCTTTGTAGGGACCTTTCTCTGTGTCTGGTCCCCAGTATGAAGTTTTCTTTTTCTCTGTTCCAGGAAAGAACGAGTCAGCTTTTAAGGGTGACATCTTCCAAAAGATTCAGTGCTTGATTCCCAGTCTCAGTATTCATACTCTCTCCTCAGCTGCTGGAAGCCCCAGTTTCCAAGAGAAAGCCATCTGCCAGAACTCAACTGGCAACAGCAAGGGCTGCATTTGGACTTAGTAGTGTGAGCCTGAGAGAAAGAAAAGTTGTCCAGAATGTTGTTGTTCTTGTTGAGTTAGTTTTCCCTAGTTGCAGAGAAATGATGGCAGAAGAGTTGTTTTCATTTAAAGGGACAAGAAATCTCTAACAGAATAGGTGAGGGGTTACGATCACAGCTCATTTCTGGAGTGTTTCTTATAACTAAACAGTTTTTACTCAGTTTTCTTCTGGTGAGTTGTACAATCAACAAGTACAATTAGCAGAGTAGCATGGTCAGGCTCATATTTTACAGGTCATATAACTAGAAGGATCACCACAGTGGAAAGAGATAATCAAAAATAATTGAAATGCTCACCTGTGTCCTGGGCTTGCAGAAAAAAAACACCAAAGGGAGGAATCTCTAGCAAGAAACCCTTCTCCAGGGGCAGTCAGCCCTTAAATGGGGTCTAGGAGAGGTGCAGCCAGGCTCCACCCCTTCCATCACACAGCTGAATCGCCTCCACCTGTGCTCCATGGCTGACTCAGTGCTTGCCTCAGGTGATCAATCAGTGCTTTCAGGTCGTGACTCAACAGTTCCCATACATGAATGCAGATGATTGCTTCCTCTGTTTTCTTGCACTAACATAAATGAAGAAATTAACATTAATTCTGTTGAGTTGCCAGACATGCACTGAGCTATGCAACTTGGTTGTTTTAGCTGCTTCTTGCCTCACTACGTGCTCTACATGGCCTGTCCACAAGCACCCTGAACCTGCAAAGTGAATGTGTCTGAACCTATCTGCTGGTCCACCTCACCCATTGCTCTCCACTGAAGTAGATACTGACAGGGCCCTTCCCCATGTTTCCTCCAAATGAGTTTTGGGGAAGGAGGTTTGTCCTCAGTGCTGTTTTTGCCAGGATGGGACACCAGGCAATGCTGGAGCTGGTGGAGAAAGCTGAAGGCATCTGATCTAGCCATGTCTGTGTTACGTGTCTGACCTGTGCAGATGGCTGGGAGCATGAGAATCCCCTCCTAAACCAGAGGGAGATGGATCTATTAACTCCATTTGGCTTGTTGGAGCTATTTGCCACTTTCCAAGGAACTATTTGGCAAATTCCTTGTGTTCCTCAGCTACTTTCCCGTCCCCCCCAGCTATTTCCCATAGCATCAATCAGACATGAACTTACTACAAAACCAAACTGAAACCTAAAGCAGTTAGTTTGTTTTCAGGGGACAGAAATGGCTTGTCTCACCATCCTCCTCACCACCACATCAGCTTTGAGCACTGGCTAAGTCACAACCTTTGCTAAAGTTTTACTGTTCAGTTTACTCTGGATCTACCTTTCTTGGGCTCCTTCACCAAAGCCCTCCTAGAAGGGCAGGTTGACCATTGGGTGCCTCTTGTAAGGATTTGGATAGACCTTTGCAGGAGCAGCATTCATCCTTTTTTATCTGCCAGGAACTCATCAGCTGATAGAACAAAACCTCATACCAGCCTCTTCCAGCACACTGCCAGTTACACAACACCTGCTAGGGAAAAGAAAGGAAGATTTTAAAAGGAAAATAAGATAATGAAAACAAAGTGCCATTTTGAACCACGTCAATCTTTCTATAGTAAATAAGGATGGATGACTCAAGGATCACGCTGATAAGGACATCCTAGTTAGCAACAGTAGTATTTCTGTCTCCTTTCCAGAGATTATTTCTTTCTGTCTCAGGAATCAAATCAACTGGGTTCTTCTTGTGGATTGTAAGCTATGCCAAAGCCAATCAGTGCAAACCCACTGCCTTCACTGAGTTTCTTCTGCTTTCTGGCAGCTTAAGTTCTGGCTTTTACTGACTCTACAGGCAAATCCAGCAAGTTGCTCAATATGTTTCATGAGTCAGAAGCTACCTACACACGAGTCCCAAAAGAAGATCAGAGGTCTACATGAGCACAAACGATCCCACAGATTTCAGGGCTAAACCTGGAGCCAGCACCCACACATTAGGATGATAAAAACCAGCCTTTGTTTCTCCAGGATTTCAGGTCTCCCTACATAATTTGAGCTGTGAAAACCAATCTCATGAGTGCCTCAATGAAACTACTTTCTCCCATCTCATGAGCTTGGAGAACCAAAACACCAATGCAGCCATTGGTGGCTAGGAGCCACAAGCTTTGTTTTTCTCTAGGCACGCTGTCTCTGCAGGAGGCCGGCTGCCCATACACCAGCAGCAGAATAGCTGAGCTCTCTGAAGTTACACAAGCAAAGCTTCCTTTCATGCACTGAGCCTCACTTGTGGCTGACTTTCATCTCCCGGTATTCAGGACCCAGCAGCATTGCAGCTTGCAGCAAGGCTCATGGCAGGGATGTCAGAGAGGGCAGGAAGCGACATCTGAAAGGGTCCCTGGGTCATCGCTGCAGACAGGGATATGTGTGGGCGGTCACAAAAGAGCAAAGAAGGAAAGTAATGTAAAAAATAGAGATGGAAAAATGAAGGCAAAATTGCACAGGAAACAGCAGTAAAGAAGAAAAAGTGTTTGCAATAGAGTTGGTGCAAAAAGTGCCTGCAGAGGTCAAAGGCGATCACAGGGAAATGGCAATGACAGGAATATGAAACGTTTCAGGAAATATAAATGCACTTTTCTTCCAGCCCTCAGAGAGCAATAATGAGAGCAATGCCAGTGACAGGCAGATACTTGTAGGGATGAAAAAGAAAAAGTGAGAGGGCTCCAGGCAGTGTCACAGCGAGTAGTGAAGGGCTTTCTCTTGCTGGCGGTGAATGTCTCAGGGCCAGAACTCAGCCTGGGGTCGTGAGAATCTCAAAAAATCAAAGAATCATTTGAATTGGAAGAGACTTTAAAGGCCATCCAATCCAACTCTTCTACACTGATCAAGGACATCTACAGCTACATCTGGTGCTCAGAGCCCTGTCCAGCCTGTTCTTGAATGTCTCCAAGGATGGCGCGTCCACCACCTCTCTGGGCAACCTGTACCAGTGCAGCACTATCCTTATCATAAGAAACATCTTCCTTACGTTCAGTCTGCATTTCCCCTCTTTTGGTTTGAGACCACTACTTCCCCTTGTCCTATCACAACTGACCCTGCTAAATAATCTGTCCCTTACTTTCTTACAGCCCCCTTTAGATACTTTAAGTTTCTCAGCACTGAGCCAGGCAAAGTGAGACTATGCTGGATGGACAGATGTCTCTCACCCACTGCTGTCTCATGGCAAGCTCAGGCAGTGACACCAGTAGCAATGAACCAGGCTCTGGCCTTCAGCAGCTAGTGGACCCAGCAGGCTGGAAACTGTGTTGAGAAGTTTAATTTGATTAATAATGGTCTGCAGTGGCAAACAAAAGAAAATTGTGCTTAACAAATTATATGGAAACTTACCGTTGCTGAAGTGGGTGACATTAAGAGCAGACAGGCAGGGTGTAATTTACCTGGCCTTCAGTGCAACCTTCAGTATAGAATAAATGAATACATTCAATTTGCATTTATATAGCTCCTTTTCATCCGCACACTGGCAAGGCACCTTACAAACATCTCATGGGCTGTTTGAAAGTTGTCTCCACGACAATCTGAGGTGAAGAGAGTCCTGAAGAGACTGTGAGCTGCAAACTGGGGATGTGTGTATTTCAATGCAGATACCCAAATGTCCATGGTCTGGTCACTTGGTGACAGGATATAAGACCGTGAGTCACTTAGAAAACTGAAGTGTCTAGAAATGGATTCTGGCTGGCTAACTCACACAGGGTCTCCCTTTCTCCAACAGAAAGCCCAAAGGATTTGTTAAGTCTGGGATTGTTCATTCTGGAGAAAAGGAGGTTCAGGAGAGGCCTGACTGCTCTCTACAACTGTCTGAAAGGAGGCTGTGGAAAGGTGGGGGTTGGCTTGTGCTCCAAGGTGGCAGCAATAGAGTGAAAGGGAATGGCCTCATGCTGCACCAGAGGAGGTTCAGGTTGGGTATTAGGAAGAATTTCTTCTCAGAGTCATGAGGCGTTGGCACAGGCTGCCAGGGGAGGTGGTGGAGTCACAAACAGCTCTATGGTTGAAAACCTTTTTGCAGACGAACTCTGTGGGTAAGCACTTCAAGGCTATGTGAGGCAGGGGGATGTTCTTTGCATGTTAAAAGTTTCAAAATCATGACTAATGCAGAAGAGTTAAAGATGACTTTAATGGCTTGATCATGAAGCCAGCTTGAAATTTCAAATGTCATCTCAGAACAACAAGCATTAACTGCTCCTCCAGGCCTGGCCACAATGGGGAAGCTGGGGCTTGTCCTGGCACAGTGTTATCATTACTGAAGAGACACTCTGCCATCCATTTCCCAAACTTAATGGCCAAATAACAGGCAGTTTATGGCACTCACAAGAAATGGACACAATGGATTCTTGAAGGTTTTGCAGACTCACTTCAGCTCTAGTTTGAGAATCCAGTGTCACTGAGCTTTTGCTTGCTGAAGAAATATAGTAAAAAAAAATGGAGATGATGAAATGGGGAAAGAGGGTTTTTTTCTTTCCTCCAAGCAATCTCCTGCTTTTGATAACCAACCATGTAGCAGTTGTGTAGGAGAGCATTTTACATACATGGCAGTATGAGTGTTCCATGGTGTTCTGCAGTTCTTGTTTATTGGTTTATCCTGGGGGCTTACAGCATTCCATTATCACCAGCACTTCTGTAGTCCCATGCTAGCACAGGGCTTTGGCACTCTGTGGCTGTATGACATTGCAAACCTGGACAAAGTAGTAAAATCTGTCATCAGCTTAAGTGGTTTTAGCCTAGTACTTGCAATTTTTTAAAACAAGGAGATCTTCCCTGATCTTTGGTATTGTTTTTAAACATTATTTTGTTTTTGAAGCTGTATAAAGCACTTTGCCAGTAACACCAACTTAAGGATCTAAATCGAAATTTTCTCTTCTTTAGTAGTTCTCTTATTCCAAAAGCATTTGCTATATGAAACAATGATGAGAAATGGCACTAGCAGCCAAAGACAAGCTGTCTACAGAGTCTGATTTTAACAGATTATTTTTATTAGAAAACACTGGGGAGTGTTTGTGAATGACAACTGGGAGAGCTCTTTCTCCACACTTTTATTCCACATCAATCTTAAATGAGTATTTCCTTCAAGGCTTATCTCATCTGTTCTAGTTTTAGCAGCAACTTAATAAAGTGCATTTATCACTTCTTCTCCACCTAAAAGCTTGGCTAGTTCTGCCTTCACATGGCTCCTTATGTGCATATCAACCTTGACCCCCTTTTCCTAAAAATGCACTGATTAATTTTTTGTTGAAGAGCTTTTCCTCCTTTCTCAGTCATTGAGGGTAGCCTCACTGGACACTTGTGTTGGTACACTAAAAACTTCATTTTTCCTTGGTTCATCTTTTATTGAGAATCAGTAATGGTTGCAGGAGGGTATTTGTGATCCCTCTGCCTTCGTCTTCCAATGCTGTAGGGCACAGGCATGGTGAACAGTGTTTCTTTCTCAGCAGGGCAACATTTTTTTCTTCCAACATCAATTGATGGATGTGCACAGAGACTTCAGGGCACGCTCCTCAGCTGGAGCTACAGTTTGCCTAAAATCCCAGGTGTTGCATAGATATTAATTAACTTTGATGTTGTTTAATGGTACTCAGTGTGCATTTTAATGAGATGTACCTCATAACATGTGTCAGGCCCAGGTCAGGCTACGCTGTCACCTGAAACTCCATGGGAAAGAAAAACACACCTTTAGATGATGGAAGAAAAATTTGTCTTAGTACTATGCAGAGATCCGCTACATTTTTCCTTCTGCTTTTCATTCAAAATATTGATGTTTTTGTTACACTGAAAGGCGGTGGGAATAACTCAGACCGCAGGGTATTTCTTAGTTGTTCTGCGTTACGGGCTGACCTCGGGGCATCCTCTCTCCATCACATTCCTATGAGGGCCAACCAACTGACTTCTGAGCTCACTCCTTTTCTTTTGCCCTGTCTCTTGAAAGGCACAGGAAAGAGTGGGGACCCAAATTTGCTGGAGGGTGCAACTTTCACCTGAAGGAGGTCTGACCTCCCCTCCAGCATTACCTCCAGTGCTGCCAGTCCTTCTCTCTCCTTCCCTATGATGTGCACATTTTCATGATCGCAGCTCTCCTTTTCTGCTGTCAGCAACTGCTCTAGGTACTACAGATGTGTATTGAGGATCCCATTCAAACTAAAGGTGGATAAATGGTTTCAGAAATTAGCCTTGACTGAGTCTCCAGGGTGAAAAATGGAGGCGTTTCTCTCATACGTGTTAAGACTTGCTCAATGTATGCTCTGCATCCACTGTCCAAAGCCACTGCTGCTCACTTGCCTTGTCTGGACTGGATGGCATCACTGACATTCATGTTGGTTTTATGTATTGGAATAATTTCTGGAGTAACTTTTTTTATCATCACCTTATTGACTGCTTATTAGGCAATAAAAATTCCTGTTGGCTCACCAATGCAGAGCACACATGGGCTGCATTAGGAAGAATATTTAATAACCAGCAGTCCTTCTGTGTCAGCAATGGGAAAGAGGAATGAGCAGGACAAGCAAACTACCTTTTCATGTTGGAATAGGGAGCTTGTAATAAAAAAGAAGAAAAGAAATAAATGACTGAGATGGCATTCAAAACAGGCCCATACAGATGTATATTATCACACAAAGACTTGTAAGAATTATTTGAAAGAGGCAACTGGTTGCTGTCCCTTGCCCACCACTTGGAGCCATCTTCTGTCTTTGCTTCGTTCTCCCCACAGTGATATATATGGGGGCAAGAAATGTCTCGACAAGAATCTAATCTCGTGACAAATACAAAAGTAATATTATGCTGTGTTATAACTGTAGTTCAGCTCTATTGCAGGTCCTGCATGACAGTGTTCAGCACTATACTCTCAGGCTGCCTTTCAGGGAAGGTGCCTCATCCAGGAAAGAGTTTGCAGAGAATATTCATGGTGGGTTCCTCACTACAGTGTATGTTAAACTCTTACTTAGGTCAAAGCTGCTGGGAACATTAAGGTCTATCTGTGGTCTTTCCATAGAGACAGTAGTGGTCATCTGCAGAAATTGCCTCACACCTGGAGGAGCAGAAGTATGTTTTTTAACTTAACAAAGGTTACTGAAGTGTTGGCTAGATTGAGGAGCAGACTGCCTAACCTCATGTCAATTTTATTAGCATTAAAAGAGCTTAAATTTATAACTGAAAATATAATTTATGAGTTCTGACTTCTATTTTTTTTCCAAGTGCATAACCTCTATATATCTTCACTGCATTTCTAAGCTTACTGGGCTGTCAGCATATGTGTATCCTGAGAGTTGAGAGATAAATAATTATGTGTGATCTTTCATGTTTACTGTTTGAGTAAGATCCAAACTGTCCCTGTGCACAAGGAGACAAAGGCAGAAAAAGCTGTGTCTACATGATCTGGTAATGCAGTCCAGTAGGGATAGATTTGTAGAGCACTGGAGCTCTAAGGTCCAAAGCCAGACTATCCATGCATCCACATTCCATGATATTCATGAATTAAGATACTTCCCTTTAGAAGAGTCCAGTCCAGACCTGTCAGTGGCCAGTAGAGATTGGAACAATGCGGTATGGATGTCTCACATCTCCCAGTTCAGTTTAATTGGAAGAAAATCTGGTTTGTGCACTCGGTAGTCATGATGTGTTGCAAACCAACGTGTGTGAGAAGTGAAATGGAGATTTGCTTTAAAAGCTCTCTCCTCATTTGAACAAAGATTTGAACCAACGAAGAAAAAAACCCACATCAATTAAAGAAGAACACATATTTCCACACTCAGTTCTCACATCCAGAAAGGAAAAAGAAAAAAAAAAAAAAAAAAGGAAGAGAAAATTCACAAGTTTGTTCAGCACCTTTTGCAGCATCAACTGTGATTTCTGATGCATAAATGAAGTGGGAAGCCTTCATTTCAAGAGGTACTGGGGAGTCATACACTTGTCAGTCAGCTTTGAAGTATGACCAATCAGCAAATACTCTGGAGGTCTTACTTTATTAAATGAAAATTGCAATTTAAGTTTTAGGTTCTGCATTTATAATAAAATTTTCCCCTTGGCTTTAAATTCCCATTCTTGTTACTCTCCAGCTGATCTCCAGTCTGAACAGGTGAAGATACATCTCTGCTTCATGAGACTGAAGCAGCACATACTGCACTTGTGAGCATTAAATACCAGTCGTTAGATGTCCTTGAAGAAATCTGGAAATCTTCTGCCTGTAAGGACATGAAAAAGTGTTAAAGCAGAGAAGATAAATTGTGTCTGACAATAGGCTGTAGAACGAGGCTTCTCTGTGAAGAAAGACCTAATAAATTAAAGGTGACTTGCAAAAGCTTTCCTTTTGAAGGAGATAAATTCAGAGATTTGCCTTGCAAGAGGTGCGGGTACTGGAAACTCAAAGAACCTGCCTGTTGGTGATGTGTCTCTCGCACTGCAATCACTTCAAACAGAGGGAGGCTGTAGCAGCTCCTGCAGAGTTGGTGCTGCCAGGTGCTGGAGGAGCCTTGTGTGCAGTGTGGGCAGCACAGCAAAGCTGGATTAGTGCTGAGGGGGGTCAGTGCATACCAAGCTCCACAGGGTTAACAGAAGCTGAATTTAAAAATGAGCCACTTGTGGTACAGATTTGTGGCGTCAGTATTTGGCTGAAGCACTCAGTAAAGGTTGACATACTGCATGGAGGAGAGCAGAAGGGGTGGCAAGAGCAAGGCTGAGATAGCTGCGGGATGGCTGGGTTTCAGGTCTGCATCAGGGTCTGCATGAATTTTTGAAGCACTCCTGCAGTAGACAAAAGAGAAATCCAGACCTTCTAAATGTTTCTTGGCCCATAGAATTGGAGACCTTATGGTGGATTTGCAGTACCTGAAGGGGGCCTACAGGTAAGCTGGGGAGGGACTTTTTAGGGCAGATAGAAAAAGGAAGAGGGGAAATGTCTTTGAACTGGAAGAGGGTAGATTTAGACAAGATATTAGGAAGACATTCTTTATTGTGAGGTGGTGAGACACTGGAAGAGGTTGCCCAGAGAGATGGTGGATGCCCCCTCCCTGGAAGCATTCAAGGCCAGGCTGGATGGGGTTTTGAGCAACCTGGTCTAGAGGGAGGTGTCCCTGCCTATAGAAGGAGGGGTTGGAACTAGATGATCTAAAAGGTCCCATCCAACCCAAACCATTCTATGATTCCATGATTCTATGATTTGTTCTCTGATTCATTCAGTAACAGAGGTCGGAGAGGAGCTTGGGATCATCCAGTCCCATGTGGGAATAATCCCCAACCAGAGCTGGTGGCTCAGAGCCTCATCCAGCCAAGTTTGGAGAATCTCAAGGAATGGAGACTCCAGGACTTGATCTTCCCAATGCTGATTTCTTTTTCCTCAACTATTCTGTCAAAAATTGTCCCAGTTGCAGCCTGTGCCCATTGCTCTAAATACTGCAAGGCTGCAGCAGTGCCCCGCATTCAGCTGCTTCTCCACTGCAGTCAGCCCCAGTCCCAGGGCTGTCCCAAGTACAGGATTTTGCATTCATCTTTGCTGAACTCCAGGAAGCTGCAGGGGTCCCATGGGTCCCGAGCCAGCCGTTTTTAGAGCAGACCTCAGCTAGAAAAGCTAATGAAGACTACCGCAGCAAATCCATTAGGATCTGTCACTGAATTTAGAGGAAAGTACTAATGGCTAGGAAATCCTCCAGAGAACAGCAAGAAAAAGAAAAAAGGATGTGAAAAATAAAGGCAGTCCCAGTTCTTTCACTCCTCTCTCACTTGATGAGACCTTAGAGCTGCATGGATCTTATTCACTGAGTACCAGTTTCTGACAGACTATGGCTGCATGCAAAAGCACATTACATCTTAGCAGAGTTTGCAGCTGTGATCCCTGAAACAGAGACCTCTAACACTTCTAAGAGATCTGAAACACAAGGAAAGCTGTCCAGGCTCTGGGACCAGCCACTTGAGGGAGCCAAGATTACGTACACTGAGAACCAGCTGATTACATAAACATTTAAGAAGTGTTGTAGCTGGAACCACTCTTTTTCTCTAATGCTAAATCTGTTTGGTCAGAAAGCTCTGAGAGCTTCTGTCTCAGATTTAAATGCTGTGTAATTCGGCTTCTAAAGAAAGACTTGTGGTATCTTGCTGTAGTTGTGTTTAGTCTGTCCCCCTGGATGACTTTTGGTTGTGTGTGTCTCAGTTTCAAACAAATTTGATAGCTGTTAAGTCTCAGCATTAATTTTCTACAAGTGAGTGAATACTGACAGAAAACAGTCATGAAGATGAGTAAAGAAGTGCTGTCTTTTTATGAAATCAACTGGATTAATGGGAAAAAATGAACATCTTGTGGCCCAAAATGTTTTCTTCAGATCCTAGATCAGTATCTCTATTTTAAACATTAAAGGCTCAACAAAAAAGAAAGTTAAAGGAGAGCTATAGGAAATCACTTAAAAGTCACAGGAAATCAGGATCCAGTTGTCAGAGAGATACTCATTCAAATGCTACACGGCTACCAAGACAACCTCCCTCTCTGTTTTTACTGAGTTATAATCTTCTGTGTGTGTGTTATGGACAAAATAGGTTTTGCGAAGTTTCTTGATGGAAAATGGTAAGACAAGTTGCCTTTAAAATGATGTTCAGGTTTCAAAAATGATTGCTACAAGCCTATGGAAATTGACAAGACAACCCTTTGATTCTACTTATGATTCATACCCACGCATGCTAGGGAATAGTGCTGGCATTTTGTCAGCAGTGTTGCATTATGAGCTCTCATTTGTGTTCCTTTTTTTCCCCAGGTGGATTTATTTCTTGTCCACATCAAAATGCAGAGACTGCTCCATTCATCAGGTCCATGGCATACAGAGGAGATGTTATCAACATGTATCTTGTATCCTAGCAAGGAAAACTGAGAATCAGAAGAAGCATTCAGCAAGCAAACAGGAACAAATGCCTGAAAGATCTCGTATCAGCAGGTAAAGTATCAATAAACCAATAAATCAAAAAATAGCAAATGACAGCACTGACATCATTCTTATACATACTGAAATACAAGCCCCGCCAATGATGACACCTGACTCTAAGAACAAGTTCAGACTCCGCTTGGGGCTGGGACATGATGAACATGTGACAGAACAATGATGATAAACATCGTGCCCCTTGCCCACAACAAACTTCTCTTCTGAATAGACAGATGTCAATTCTACCCCATTGGTTTTTAAAAAGAGCTCATTTTGTAATGCGTATCTGTGTATCTCTCTTTCTCTTCTTTAAATGTATGTAAACACACATAAACAGATACAAATGTCTATTTCTTTTCTTAGCGGGCGGAATGGCTTGTAGGTAAAATACCTGTAAATGAAGCCTCCTCCCAACAGTCCCAGGTATGCACTGCAGAAGCTGTTGCAAAGGACAGAAGCATCAGCACCATTCACCTTGTGTTTTCTTGTCCTTGTATTCGAGAAAAAAATGTGCCTATAATTAGAAAGCAGAATTAGTACTGAAACAATTTTCACATCACTGGTCCTTCAGCCTCCTCAGATATTATTTGTGGTATCTGCTTTCATGCAGGAGGATGGGACCAAATAAAAGCAATCACAAGGATGGAAATGTTCTCAGCAGGAGGAAAAGGGATTATAAAAAAGCAGAGGAAAATGACTTCTGAATGTTTTGTAGTCCTGGGCATCCATATGCCATTTGAGCTAGAGTAGAGTGTTAACAGATCTAAAAATAAAGAATGCATTATTTATCAACTTATTAGAGCTTTCAGAAAAGAGGAGCTGAATTCACTTGGCTAATAAGCTACCTCAGATCACATCCATTGGAAGACATATTCATATGAATTGGATGAGGTGTGCATTTGGTCTTTATTAGGCCATTTAGGCACCTAAAGTTACTTTTTTCTTCTAGGAAAAATACACAAAATAGTTCTGTTTTGGAATATTTTGTGAAGTCTATATGCTATTCTATGCCCCTGTCCATAGTCCTCCCTACGTAAGTTTGTGTAATTCCAGTTTTATTTCAGAACAAGATTTGTTTGTAATCCAAAGGATGTGATATCACAGAGCAGATTAAAGCAAGAAAATATGCCATTGAGAACATAGCATGAAGGCTATTTATTGGGGTCTCACGACCTTCCAGCCCTTTATAATGAGCAGAACAAACCAGTGAATGTACCAGGATGTAAAGAGTTTACAGTTTTGACAGCCTCGACCTGCTCTCTCAGACCACATTCCCATGCAGCCTGCATTTATATTCATGTCTCTGTCTAGCTTTGCTGAATGGAGGGAAATTAGCAAGATGGGCTAGAGTGCTGTCATGGTGTCTTGTGCTGTGGTCAGATGTCTTTTGCAGTCCAAAGAAAGAGCTTCATGGGTTCCTGGAGAGGTCTGGTCTGTCTCTGCATTGCTCTGAAAGATATAGGCCAGGTTCAGAAGCAAGGCATGGGTCGTGAATATTTTCATAATTTTTGCACTAACTAGCAAAGTGAGAACTACTCTCTGTTAAAAGTCATTTCATCCACATACATGGAGATTATATCAAAGGCAATGAGAGTTGAGGACTTCAGAGCCTGTGCTGCCCTTTCTGAGCTGTTAAACTGGATAATCCTGGAAAAGGCTTTCCTTTGGTTCAGGGCAAATTCAGAGTAGGAGCCCAGGCCTAGTCTTTCATGGGTATCGAGTAAAGCTCTGCTCTTTTCCCATGCTCCAGCCATTCATTTCCCTGACCTGATGACAGTCATCCCTGCTCTGCACACCTGCGTCAACTCAGGACGAACCAGTTGTATG